AGGATGCAGTGGGGTTTTTTATGGCACAAGTCTTATGGGGAGCAGCTGAGGGAACTGGAGTTGTTTAGCCTGGAGAAAAGGAAGCTCAGGAGACCCCATCACTTCTACAACTACCTGAAAGGAGTTTTAGTGAGGTGAAGGGGTCTCTTCTCACAGGTGATAAGTTACAGGATGAGTGGAAATGGCCTCAAGTTGTGTCATGGGAGGTTTAGATTGGATATTAGGAAAAAAAGTATTCTCTGAAAGGATAGTCAGGCATTGGAACAGGCTGCCCAGGTAAGTGTTGGAATCCCCATCCCTGGAAGTGTTCAAAAGGCATGTGGATGTAACTCTGGGCTATGGTTTAGTGATGAATACAGTGATGCTGGGTTAACAGATGTACATGATCATTTTGAGGTCTTTTCCAACCATCGCGACTCTAGGATACAAAGTGATTTTTTGGGGCACAAATACCCATGAATTCTCATGGGTATTCTCATGGAGACTAGAGAGACATGTCTCTACTGGCAGAGGACATCTACTATTCCTTTCTGCAAACAGGCAGTGCTAACAGGCAAACTGAAGTCTGAAAACCAGATAAGTGTATGGTTGTTGGGGTTCTTTTCACTTCAAGATTTCATTCTTGCCTTTTAAAGCTGATTTAAACTTACACTTCTGAGTCCTGTACAAACTAATGAAATAACCAGCTGTCCCTACCGTGGCCTTCAAAGTTTCAGCAAATTATTCAAGTCTTCCTGTACAGCAGGATTTAACAGGAAAGTGAAATCCATTGCAGTCTCCCATTTCATCAGCTGCTGCACAGCTGGCATGAAAGAGACTGCGCTGTGAAATGCACCTGTGTTTCTGCTCTGGTCCTCTCGTTTTCCCCTCTAGCTGTGGCCCCATCCCAGCCCTCAACCCCTGCAATGTCTTGGTGACCAAGGGCAACTTCGGGATGAGGGAAAATCAGAGGACCATTGGTCTGGTCAAACTGATGCTGCATCGCCCTCTGCAGACGGGCAGGCAAACACTGCGGCAGGCTGAGACAGAAGATGAAGAAGAAAAGCAGGGATGTGAGAAAAATTCCTCTGACAGTACTTTTTCTGCAGATGTGTTGGTTGATGAACATATCTGGGAAGCTCCATTTTTTGGGGGCTCCATTTTCGCTGGACCCACTGTGAAAGGCTATATCCACAGGGATAAAGTATTACACATACAGCACTATTTCATTATAATGCTCTCCACTCCCCAATAAACAAAACCAGTGCAACATGGAAACAACAGCTTTTCTTTTACAAGAACAAGGCGACCACATCAGAACAGCAAGAATTTCCTCCCTAATGGTTTTCTTGTGGGAATCTATAATGAGCTGCCACAGTATGGAACATCCATATGTGTGTGCGCACGCATGCAAGTCAGGGTGAGCTATTCCCTGTATTTGCTGAAAAACCCAAACCTTGCTCAGCCACCCCACTAACAGCTTGCTACCAACACATTCGTTGACCTCCTTTTTTTTTTTTTTTTTTTTTTGCTCCTGAGGCATCACTTAAGCCACAGTGTCAGGTTCTCCACTCTAGCTCCACAAATACTTTGCTCCCCAGTGCTTAATCAGCCCACTGACTCTTCAGGAATGACCTAGGTTTTGCATTTCCTCACCCTACAAAGCCTTACTTCAAGTTTGCACACAAGCTCAAGGAACAAATGGCTTCCAGCAATGGATCAAGTAGGATATAAACAAATCACTCACTGCAACAAATGGAGCTGGGCACATGCTTACAGCTTGCTGTTTTGATCTCCACAGCTGAATTTATGGAATGAATTTTCTGGTAGGGATCACATAGTCAAGTTAGAAAAAGATCTGTCACTACTCTTAGAAGTTTATTGTTGCTAATTACCATTAAGTATATGCACAGAGGCATCCTAAGAGCAGAGGGGACAGAACAGGAAACTGCTAGAAGGGGAAGAGGCAGAGTCTTCAGTTTACACTAATGGCCTTAATTTAAGTATTCTTTTGTAAGTTTACTCTAGGGTTATGTGCATAAATTTAGTTTTACAATGAAGTCATCTTAAATGCAGAAACACATCTCAACTTCCTCAGATCCCAGGACAGAAGACCTGCACTTCATTCTTTCATGCCAGCTGTGCCCAAAGGCAGCAGGGGCAAGATGGGCATCACCGTGCTCTCTCTCCCTGCTACAAAGACCGAAAGAGGGAGAGGATCTAAAAAAAGGGGAGATAAATTTGAATGAACTCAGAAAGGATAATGGGAAACTGTGATAAAGAGGGGAACACAGGGCAGATGTCACTGCCACACTCCTGAAGGCATCTTTAAGGAATCAGCCTGAGTCTGTACAAATAACCAAATGGGCATGCCTTCCATGCCAGGAGTCTTCCACTGTTTCTGTGGCAAGACACACACAGGTATTTCTTACTGGTGTTTGCTGTTGGCTTTCTCAGCCCCATTTTGTATCATTTCCTCTGGATCTGTGTGTATCTTGATGAGCAGGATGGCCTGTCCTGCTTGCTGGGGAAAGGACAATAGATTTTTCCAGAGATGCCTTTTGTTATCCCTGCAGTGAGAGCAGCCAAAGGGTTGACAAGGAGACAGAAGCACATAACCTTTTGGCATGGCTATTTGGCCTATAAATCTAATATTTCACCAACACAGACTAGAGTGTATTGGGTGCTTTGCCCAGGGCAGGAGGTCTACAGAAGGCCCACATGACATGAACCTCTCTGAAAACTCTAACAAACACTAGACTTTGTCCTTTAGAGACTCCTGATAAGTGCAGTGAAGCGGGAACCAAGAGCAGAGAGATGCCAGCAGTGGCTGGATAGGTAATTATACCTTTGCTGTTGGGCTGAATGACAGGCATTGACTTCAAATTGCCTGATTGACTGGGAGATCTCCTGTCAGCATAAACTTTCTTCCTAGCACTGGTGGTCTTCCTGAAAGCATCATGCCAAGCAAAAAGGGCAGAGACATCCTGCACCAGCCTCAGCATCCCCTCCATTTGCCTGCCAGGGAGCATCCAACAAACACCAAAGCCAGGAGCTCAGGCCATCCCCAAGATCTTGCCTGTGCTTCAGCAGGTTTCAGGTCAGACCCAGAAGCACAAGGACTGTTCTAGCAAATTCTTTGTGTGGAGTCCCCTGAGAGAGAATAGGGAAGAGGTAAATTCTCTGGCTTTCAACTCTCTTCTGGGCACTGAGAAAAGTGGGTTTTGGCTCATTGGGCTCTCCTGGTGATTGGTTTCCATCTCCTCCAGGAGAAGGGTAATAAAAGCAGCTGGAGGGAAAGCCTCTAGTGTTTCTCCTGTGGCTCAACAAAGGCTCTGTTTCCCAGGTCATCATTCTACAATCATCTCTGTCAGCATTGGCAGCCCCAGGAGGGAAAGACAAATCTGTCCTTCTGCTACTAGATCATTTGCTGGCCATTGAAACATTAATTCATCTTCACACCATTGAGAGTGGGGAAAGAAGGCAGGTTACCTCAACCCACAGCTATTGTGCAATGCAGCTTGAGTGATGGCAGGGTTTCCCTTGAGGAGGAGAAGAACCAGTGGGAATTTAGGAGAAGGAGGTATAGGAGTGAGGTCCATGCTTGCTGCTGAGGGGCAGTTTTAGGGAGACACAACCAGGGCTGTGCCCAAGGGACCCTTCCAGGCAGTGTGAGCACTCAGCTTGTGCAGAAGCAGGGAGCCTAGCCCCTGCTGGGAAGACTGATGCAGAACCCCCAGGTAAGGTGACAGGTAGGCAATAATGTGCTCAGCATCACTCCTAGGCCTGGCAGGACAGGCTTGCCTGGAGAATGGAGAGACTACACAAACTCCATCATCTCTACCCACACTTCAACACTGCCGTGGCCTCATTTTCAGATGGATCCTTCAGTGGCAACTACTCCCTCGCTCTGGGCTAAACAATGGCAAGTGGCCACACGATCCGGTGTGAGAAGTAAAAGCTGCCTCTGTCACCATCAGGAGCTTTTTGCAGCATTTGCTTCATCACAAGCCGGACACAATTGTGTGCACAGTGCTTGCTCTGCAAGGCCCTGAAGAGCTGCCACGGGAGGAAAAAAGCCGTCAGAGCCCAAAACTGTTTCCCTCCCTCTAGCAGGCACCGTGTGTACGACAGCAGAGGTTGCGTGGTAACGGCAGCAGGAAGGCGCCAGCTCGGCCCCCCTCGCTCCCGCACAGAACCGACAACAGCAAGGTACGTACCCGCGGCAAAAGCAGCTCTGAAACTCCCGAAACTTTCCCTCCTGCTTCCCGGGGAGGAGCACGGAACCATTTTAAAGCCGTGCTTTGTAGGGAACAGCTGGTTGGGCTTAGTTGAACTGTTGTGTGAGCCAGGGTTATGGGAAGCGGGTGTTGGTAGGAAGAAAAATCTGGGGGAGATGCTGAGATTTTGGGAGTGGAGGGAGGAAGGCAAGTCGGGGTGTTGCCTAGTCCCTCTCGGCACTTCAAAACCTTTCTTTGTTCGGTCTTGTGAAAATCTGAATGAGCTTTTACCGGGGCTAAAACTACGGGGAAACAATAGGGAGGGAGACAGGGAGTAGCCGGCAGGCGGGGGAGGAAGCGAGCCAAGGGATGACGAATGCCTTCCAGCCCTGACCAAGCGCTGCCACCCTCGCCCTGCCTCGGGGCGGGTGTGCGGGACAGCCGCTGGTCACTGGGGTCGGCTGGGGGCAGTGACACGGGGAGAGCCCGGCAGGGCAGCAGGCCTGGCACAGCACAAGCCCGAGGCGCCCATCCTCCACTGCTGTCACAGCTTCGTTCCAAAGGGCTCAGAGAGAGGGGCCTTTGTGCCAGCGACGTGCAGCTCTCTGCCCGGCGTGTTGCACTAATGAGGGAACGCGTCCCGGATAGGACTGGTGACAGGGATAGGGAGCAGGCACTTCCCAGGCCCTCCAAGCTGGCCCCCATGCACAGCTGTCTGTAAACTGTAAGTCAGGGAGACCACTGAGGATATTTTTGTTGTTTCCAGTTCAAACAATTCCTAGTTCTGAGCTCCCTCGGGAAGTCCTGTCTCCCCTAGCTGAGACCTTGCCCTGGTGCCTCTGCCCTGGGTGACCTGCCTGCATTCCCATCTTGCTCCAGGTCCTGGCACACAGCAGAGGTTGGTACACTACCTCATTTTATGTTTGATACTCCCACCCCCTATGCATCCCCTCATTATAGGGATTTCTCCTTCCCCTGGCTTGTTTCCCATGTATCCCAGTGCTCCTGCGCAGGGGGAAGAGCATCAGGGAGATCAGGGTGGATGAAAAAAAAAAGGGCAACAGGAGATAGGAGTAAAAGGAAAGGGAGGAAAAGAGGACAAAATTAGAGAAGCTGGTGAGATGAAAAAGAGGAAATTCAGAGTAAGAGGAGAGATAGCAGAAAAAAGGAGGGTAGAAAAAGGAACAAAAGAGAATGGGGAAGGAAGGAAGGAAGGAAGGAAGGAAGGAAGGAAGGAAGGAAGGAAGGAAGGAAGGAAGGAAGGAAGGAAGGAAGGAAGGAAGGAAGGAAGGAAGGAAGGAAGGAAGGAAGGAAGGAAGGAAGGAAGGAAGGAAGGAAGGAAGGAAGGAAGGAAGGAAGGAAGGAAGGAAGGAAGGAAGGAAGGAAGGAAGGAAGGAAGGGAAGGATAGAGAAGGGGGAAGCATGAGAGGAAAATAGAAAGTAAAAAGGGAAAAAAACGGAGTGAGGAAAAAGGAAGGAAGGAGATATGAAGGAAACAGATAAAGGAGAGTAGAGAAGGAAAGAAAGAAGGGGAAAGAGGGAAAGAAAGTCAGAAAAGAGGGGGAGAGGGAAGCAGGGAGAAGTCAGGAAAAATTAAGAAAGAGAAAGACAAATAGAAAAGAGAGGAGAAAGGGCGCTAAGTGTCAGAGAGGGCAGGAAAAAAGGGAGAGGGGGAAAACGGAGGGAACAGAGGAAGAAAAAGGGAGAGAAAGAGGAAAATGGGGAAGAAAGGGAAAAAGGGGAGGAGGGACAGATCCTGCTCCTCCCCGCCGCGATACGAGGCGGAGCCGGGGGGGAGCCGGCGGCAGCTGCGCGGTGGCGGCACGGCGGTAGGAGCTGGGGAGCGGGGCCGGGCCGGGCCGGAGGGAGCAGGGAGGGAAGAAAGCCTGGGAGGGAGAAGCGCTGCTTGCGGTGCGGGAGGCGGCGGCGCGGGGGGAACCGGGCAGGGGGGGCGGCGGCGGTGGCGGCAGTGCCCCGGGATAGGACCGGGGCGCTGCCCGGGACCCCGAACGGGATCCCCCCTTGGCTCACAGGAAGGTGCAGAACTCGGGGCTGGGGGAAGAACCCTTTGTCGATCCGGGCGGGGGTAAAACGGGAGAGTGCCCTAGCGACGCGGGGAGGGAGGGCTGTGACAGTCCGGCTGCCACTGTCCCCTCGCGTGTCGCCGCTGGCTCCGATCCCCATCACCCCGCGACACGTGGGGCTGTTGTGCGATCCCACGGAGGCCGTGGGCCGGGATTCCCGGCAGCGCTCGCGTTGGGAAGGGAAGGGCAGCGGCCGAGCGCGTCCTGAGCTCACGATGCCGCTGGCGCCGTGTCCCGGTCCGGCCGCGGCTGCCGAGCGCCGCCCCGCCCCACGTGGGTGCCGCGTTTGTTGTGGGCGCGACCTGACGGCAGCGCTGGCACCGGGCGGGCCTGCGGGAAAAGCCACTTCGGGATCCCCGCGATGTTAACGGCGGCAGGAGGGGACTGCAGAGAGGGAAGACGGTGGCTGCCTGCAGCTCACATTCCGATGGGATAGCTCAGGGATTATTTCTTTCTCATGCCCCGTCCCGTAGTCTGAGTCATGCTGGGCAAACCAGCCGACCAAGGCTGCATTTTGTCACCTACTCTACAGCGCTGCCTTTAACCCCATCCCTTGCAGACTAAACCTAGGGCTCAGCTACTGGCCTTGGCATGCTTTTGTGCAAGCACGTTTATCTGGAGCTGTTCTGTACAACAGACAGAAATGCAGTGATTTCTGAAGTGATTGTAAACACAGCGTTGTGCAGAAAAAAAGATCCACTTACCAGCTTCTCTGTACTTGGATTCGCCTGATCAGAGTGATCTTTCAAACCTTGGATATCGAATTGTAGAGGGAACACCTCTCCCATCCACGCAAGTTCCACTTCTCACATACAGACGTGTCCAGCAAGATTTTTTAATTTGAGCCCAGGCAGTTCTCATGCTCATTGTCCGCATTCACCCAAATTCTCTCAAAAATATCCCAATTTTAAGTACAGCTTGAGGGTCCACAATGGGTCAGGTGTGCCACGCTGGTGGAGCTGGTGTCTGTGTGGCTCAGCAGTGCAGTAGTGAGTAGCACCAGTGCCCCCATAAAGCTCCTTCTGGTTAAGCTCCCTTGGAGGGGGAAGGGGAGTGTCTTATTCTCACACAAGCAGCCTCCAGATAACAGACTTTTGCCATATCTCTTCAGGATTCCTGTGCTTTTTTCCTCTCAGAGGAAGGCCTTCCCAAGTCCCAGACAAAACCATTCCAACTCTCCTGACCTTGTACTGGTGGTTGCAGGTTTTGGAAAATTATAATCTGTCCCCTTTGCACAGTATGACTCATGGCTGAGAGCTGGGAGGATTGAAGAACATCATTGCTTCTCAGTCAATTTAAAAAAAAAGGTGATTTTATTTTGTTTTAATTTTCAGGTCTTATCTCAACTGTCAAAATGGAGCTTGACATCCAGTGTGAAGAGATGAGCCCATCTAGATGGGCTGAACTTCTGACCACAATGAAATCCTGCAAAACCATCAGGTAAGTAAAGTGTTGTGTATTCTCTCTTTTGAGTAAGAACTGTTGCATTTCTTTCCTGTGCTTTTCATCTTCAGAACTGTTTGTCCTGGGACTTAGAAATTGCACAACAACAGGAATTTTTATCCAGAAAGTTAATTTAAAGGATGGATAAACCCCCACCCTCTTGCAAAGCATTTTTACTTCATACCAAAGGATATTTATCTGTAGTTAATGTTGCCCTGTTTCTTGGTGTGCCATAGGGCTCAGCTAGGTAATGTGATTTAAATATTTGACCTCCATTTTGGTTATTCTGCTTTTGTCTCTCAAGAGTGGGAAGACATCTCTCTGTGCTTATTGGGTTGCACACTCTTTGGGTTGCAGGCTTGATGCTGTCAAGTGATTTTGGCTTCAGTAGTCAGGTACAAGCCGTGCGCCATCAGCTTTTAATTCTTCACTTGACCTTCAGAAGTACCAGCCTTGTTTGTTGAGCAAACAATGGGAGGGAACCATCTCCTGGGGTTTAAGGTGTAGGACAGTGCCCAGAAGAGTTGCTACTGCAATCTTTCCCCTCTGCTGTTTGGGAACTCATACTTCATGGGATGGCATCATCCTGCTGGGGCTGGAGAGGATGGCCACTTCATGCCAGCAGTGCCTCGGAGGGCATTGGATCTGGTGAGGGCAACTTCCTTTTGTTTTGTAAAGGAGCCTTTTGCAGGCAAAGCTTCATGAGCCTGGCCTTGACTTCCCAAGGCCTGCCTTGGGTGGCAGAAAGCAGTGGGATGGTTGTCTCCTGGGCAGAGGCTGGGCCGCTCCAGAGGCAATGGATAAGGGTGACTGCTGCAGGGGTTGTTTCATCAGTGATCAACATGATCCCACTGGAATCCATGTCTTCTTGCAAGGGGAGGGAAGGAGAACCCTCACAGAGCCTCAGTTTCATACTCTTGTCAAAGGAGAAATGACCAGGCAACTTTTGGCACTCCTGGCTGTGGCTGTGCCTGGGGCTGTACGGTTCTCAATGACACCTTCTTTTTGCTCTGTGTCTTTTCTGCCTCCTTCTATACCTCCCTGGCTGTCCTGTGCTCCTGATCCTTTCCTTGGCTTTCCTTTCAATTAAATTCATCCTCATCCATTCAGTAGCACCTAGAAGAATGCTGATATCCCATGGGGGAAGTTGCTGCCAAACTGTAAACTCAGGGTTTGTGTGCTGAGATTCCTGCTGGAGGGAGAAGATGGTGCAAACCAGCATGACTCACCTGCAAGACACCAACCTGCTGATGAGTGTCTCTGGGCTGGCTGCAGTTCTCAGTGCAGAACCAGTCTGACACCTGTAAGCTGGCAGATGGTTTGTCACTGTCACTGTTTAAGTGGAGGCGCTTCCTCCAGCTGTACAGGAATGATTTGGGCCCACTTCTGTGCAGCACAGAGGAGGAGCAAGGCTTGGGAAGCTGCCCTCCAGCCCATCCTGTGGTGCAGCCCAGAGCACACCTTGGTTTGGGCCATGCAACACCCAGCAGGTCCTGCACATACTTATGGAGGCATCCCAGGAACAGCAGGAACATTGCCCACTCTGCTTTCATGAGCAGTGCTCCAGCCTGGGAGAGCAGAGCAACTCTGAGGACTGAAGTGCTCCTTCTGTCCTTGTCTTTCAGGTTGGATGACTGCAATCTCTCCAGCAGTAACTGTGAGGATCTCTCTTCCATCATCAACACAAATCCATCCCTCACAGAGCTGAAGCTGAACAACAATGAGCTGGGAGATGAAGGTGTTGAATACCTGTGTAAAGGGTTGCTGACGCCAAGCTGTAGCCTACAGAAGTTATGGTAAAGCTCCACTGATTGTCTTGCTCTATCCTGCTGTCACAAATGAGTGTTTTGAGGTCTCTTAAAGAATCAAAGGCAGGTTTAATATAAAAGTGAAAGCACAACAATTTGTCGACAAAGTTCACTCTACTACGTACTAGATGGTTAAAGCACGTAGAGAAAAAGCAAACAAAAATCTAAAGTCAATAACCAATGTCAACTGAAGAATTATCTACATGGAGGCTGGGAGAAGGGGGAATGGTGAGGACAGGAAAGGGTGAATAAAGAAGACAGTCCTTTTGAATTTCAAGGTTCAGAATCTTTGCTAAACTGAGTTCTGGACTGGACCAATACTTTAGGCCTAAAAGTTTTAACAGCACTTAAACTTAACAGCACTTCCTTAATAGCTTGGGTTAAACAATTTAACAAAGGTTCATATAGAATTTACTATAATGCAACAGTAACTCACAGGCCTAACTTACATATCTAAAGTACTTAATAATCTAGGACACCAACAGTCACAGTCCATTTGCTACAGTATATTCCCACTCACAAGCACACATATCTAAAGGAGTATGTACAAGGTGTAAAACCTGTATTTTCCACATACAACCTGTGGAAAATTCCCCTCAAATTCAATGAAGGACTCTCATCAGATGCCTTTGAGGTTCAGCTTTGGGGAGTGGGGGTGCCAGCCCAGGATCTGGCATCGTTCAGTGATCCTCAGAATGCAGCAAACTGGAGAGTTCCCTGGCTCTAGGAGGCATTTTATGGAGGCACCCCACCACATTTATAGCATTAGTGGGCTTCTCTCAGCATCCCTGGTGCAGGAGGTGTAGTCAGAGCCAGTGGCTGCTGCCTCTGCTCCTCAGAAGCCCTCAAAGAGGGCTTCTGCCTTCTCTGTTCAGCATCTCTTCTGCAGGGTGCAGGAATCCTCCAGCTCCAGAGAGGAATCTGGGATCCTCAGAACACTAACTTGTAAGAATAATATGACTTTTGGTTCAGATATTGAAGTCCCTATGCCGTCTGCAATGAGGACTCAGGCAAATAGAAAGAATGTTGACTGTGAAGCTGATGAAACTGCAGCTCTCTGATGGACCTTCAAGAAGTAAATGTGGTACTCTGTACTGGAAGACTTAAGTAATTTTTCAGAGAGTTTGCCCCAGGCTTCAGATTTCTCCTCATGCTCAAGTAACAGCCTGGGTTTTTCAGTTCTGTAGAAAAACATTGTCCATTTTTGGGGTTCTGGTAAGGTACCTTAAATAAAAGAGAAACCAAATAAAAAGGAAATAAAAGGAAGAGGAATATAAAGAGGAAAGAATAAGAGGAAATAAAAGAGCAAGCAAACCCAAGTCAAACCTTCCTGCACAACACCTCTCTATTGCTCTAAAGTCGTATCCAATAATTCTATAAACACCCCACAGCAATATCAGCACAGTTCCTATGCTACTTCTCCAAGCCTGAGTGCTGAAGGATCAACTTCATAGATCCTTCTTGTACTATACCATTAAACTAAATTATGTCCATGGTTGGATGAGATTTTAACTTCTACTGACTCTGGATCACATTTCTAGAGGGGGCGAGAAATCATAAGATGCCTTTGCTTTATATCTGGGGTCAGTCTCCTGATATTTAAACCACTTCTAGAAACCAGTTGTGGGGCTACCTATAGGGTGAATCCTTATTCTGCTGGAGATGCTGTATGAGTGATTACACTGAAGGAAGAAGGGGAGCTGTTATTTGTGGTACAGATGTAGTTGATAAAATATTATGGCACACCTGTAAAATAATGGTACTAACCTGGACAAACCACTTCCTAGAGGGTTATGCACCATCAGAGCTGTGGTGTCCTTTCCAAGCTCCAACCTCAGCAAATAAAGCTCTCTGAGAAGAACCTCTGTAATTCTAGGAGTGCATTTCTCTCTCTCCTGCAGGCTGCAAAACTGCAACCTGACGAGTGCCAGCTGTGAGACCCTGCGCTCCGTCCTCAGTGCCCAGCCATCCCTGACAGAGCTGCATGTAGGGGATAACAGGCTGGGAACTGCTGGAGTGAAGGTGCTGTGCCAAGGGATGATGAACCCCAGCTGTAAGCTGCAGAAGCTGCAGTAAGTAGTCACTGGGCTTTTTCAGTCATCACACAGGCCATGCTTGCTTTTCCCTTGACACAAGCTGGAGTTTTGTTGCCAGGTGTGGATTTGTTCTTCTTTTACCTGAAATTGTCGTATTTATTCATGCAGGTGGATCTTGTGGGTTTGGAAGTCCAGTGTCTGTTCCCATAGGCTTTGTTTAGCCCTCCTGGCAGCGGTGGCTGTAAATGCAAGACCTCTCAGACGCCCAGGAAACATCAGATTCTGCTGCCCTTGGTCTTTGTTTCATGACTGAGCAGGACCTAGGCATATTTGCAGCCCCCAGCTCCCCCTGGGCAGGCCCAGAGTTGAGGCTCTTGATGGTGTTGCAGTGCAGAGCTCAGCCCTGTGCTCCAAGCTGCCTGTACACTGATTCAGTGGAGGCCTAGTGTAAAAACTGGTCTTGCTAGGGTCCCCTGGGATCTAGTTTAAGAATTAATGCTTCCTGAAATGAGCAGAGAGATGCTGTTAAAAGTTTACAGTTATGTCTGGTTTTATGCATTGCCTGATCTCAACTCACATTGGCATGTTTTCTGCCCTGGCTAACACACACCAGGCTCAGCTGATTGTTGTTGGTAGCAGGATGTGTAAGGAGCGTTGTCTTTTTGCCTGGACTTCTTTTCTTCTTGCAGGCTGGAGTACTGTGAACTCACAGCTGATATTGTGGAAGCTCTCAATGCTGCTCTGCAAAGCAAGCCCAGCCTGAAGGAGCTCAGCCTGAGCAACAACACGCTGGGAGATACAGCTGTAAAGCAGCTGTGCCGGGGCCTGGTGGAGGCAAGCTGCAACCTGGAGCTACTACAGTAAGGAAGAGCTGGTCATCTCTAATGGCAGCTAGTGCTGCTGCTAGTCACACCATCCATAGGACAGGAAAAATTCTTGTCAAGAATGCTTGAAATGTAGGCCAGATTTTTGGCTGGCTCAGATTTATGTAACTGGAAACTGCACACAAAGGTCTGGGGCTTTCAGTTTTGGGGTTTTTGGCACTCCAGGTTAAACCACCACTTACTAAGGAAGACTGCTCACCTGTGTCTCAGAGGAGAGGAACAATCACCCTCAGTTGCTCTAGTTCTTAAACTGGAATTACCAGCCTGTTGAGTATACTTATTCAGAGCCCTTTTTTGCTACAAAACAAAGGTGCTGGGTTTGGCCTCATTTCTGTGGTAAAGCCTGTGAAGGGCTTTCTGGGAAAAGCACAATTCATTTTATCTTGCCCCTGAAGTTCAGCAGGGGTTGGCTCAGCAGGGACTCATTGTGTGATGCTGCCAAAAGCTCCTCTTAAAACGGTAACTGATAAAAAGGGAAGTTTGGCAAGAATGATCCTTGCATTAGTGCATATGAATGGCTGGGTCAAAGTGCCCTGCAGCCTCATGAAATGCAGAAGCAGTGAGCAGAACCTCACCCAGAGTCCCATCTTGGACATCAGTATCTTCTCTGAACCTTGCAGGATGTAGCAGTGCCTGGCTGAGCTGCACTGGTTTGCAGCAAGGACCCTTCTCAGTCTGAACTGGGTATTGGGGTGTATCTAACACGGGTGGGTCTGGAGCAGCAACTCCAACTGTGCTTTTTCCTGCAGCCTGGAGAACTGTGGCATAACCAGTGACAGCTGTATGGAGATTAGTGCTGTTCTCAGGAACAAGTCATCTCTGATGGATCTTTCTGTGGGAGACAACAAGATCGGGGACTCCGGTCTGGCTCTGCTGTGCCAGGGACTGATGCATCCTAGCTGCAAAATCCAGAAGCTGTGGTAAGGGTGGGCAGAGGTTTCCTTCTGCAGCTTCTGAGCTGTTTAGGTTGTGCTGCTGGTTTGCTCCAAAGTGGAAATTTCTCATTTACCCTTTATGGTCAAAAAAGTGTCTCAGCTGCAAATCAGTTAACTCCCAAAAACTGGCTGGAGAACACCATGAACAAGTAGGACCACTGAAATTGCTTGGATCAAATTCTGGTGAGAGGCCAAATAGAAGTTTATGATGGCATTGTCTTGGCTTCCAGTTGAGTTAGCTGTCTACTAGAATTGCATATTTCTGTTTCTTTTTTTGTGTGTTACAAGCAGAGCTTTTAGTGCAGGAAGTGGAAAGTAAGGAAAGGAGGAAGCTGTGTGGTATGATGTATGAAAGGATACAAGAAAATGAGACAATGTAACCAGACATTCAGACTACTAAAACAGGACTCTGTTTTCTAATCTAAGTCATTCTTGGGAGAAAATAACATTTTGTTCTTCCCTGCAGGTTATGGGATTGTGATCTCACAAGTGCTAGCTGTAAAGATCTCTCCAGACTCATCAGTACAAAGGAGACCCTCACAGAGATCAGTCTGATAGACAATAACCTGAGAGACTCAGGGATGGAAATGCTCTGTCAAGCACTCAAGGATCCCAAATCTAAACTTCAGGAGCTATGGTGAGCTGCTGTCAAGTTTCACATACCTACTTCTTTCTTTGGAGGCCTCACTGAAGAAAGATGTAAGGTGAAGTAATGCCCACCCAGATAGATCCTCAGTTGTGGCGGTTCCACAAGCAACTTCTCCTGGTTGTTACTGAAAGGATTTATAGAGTTAAAAAGGGCTTTTCTAGACTTAAAGACTTTAAAAGGATTTGTATTTCTAAACTCATAGACACTTTGAAGATGTGCACCATCACAGTTATCCTGTTACACCAAAAGGAGACCAAGAATCGCTTGCAGAGCTTCTAATTAATTGTTTTATCATGCAACAAATGACAGTTAAGAGACTTTTGAAGTCTGAAAGGCCTAATGAAATAGCAAAATGAGTGCTGTGATCAGATATCTCAGGTTCTCCACTGGAGCTAAACTCTCTCACTAATGAGACAAAAGAAAGCTCTAGTGACATTAAACATGTCTCATCATCCTGTCCTGTTGACTGTCTTACCTTTTAGGCTGGGATGGTGTAGGAGAGGAAATTTGTTCATTCACTTAGAACTTGAATTTTCCTACATTGCAGATTCAGCTCCTGCCCCCAGCTGGGTTCTTGCCCTGGTGGCCTGGAAGTCAATGGGGTGCCTCAGGAGTACACAGTGGAGCCACCAGAGACTGTTAGAGCAGCACAGGTCATCCTTCTTTGGTCCTGTGCTTCTTGGGCAGGTGCATACTCTAGGACACACGTGCCACATAAAGAGTGGGAGAGGTACTGCCCAGAAAGGACTGAGCAGACAGGCATTGAGAGGAGTACAGTGATTGCAGGAAAGCCCTGGTTCCTCTGTTCCCACTGTCTAGGCTCCTGTTGAATAAATGTAAAGAAATGAATGGTGCCTCATAGTCTCTAGGTGTCCCACCCAGATCTCATCTCACTTTTGCCTTGCAGGGTTAGGGAGTGTGGGCTCACTACTGCTTGCTGCAAGGCTGTCAGCTCTGCTCTCAGCACCAACAAGCACCTGAAAGTACTGCACATAGGTGAGAACAAGCTGGGAGATGCAGGTGTGGAGCTCCTGTGTGAAGGGCTGATGCACCCCAACTGCAACATCCAGTCCCTCTGGTAAGGTGCACTCTCAGAAGTTGTCTTCTCTCTTGCTGTCTGAATTCAACCTTTGTCTTGTACTTCCATGGTCCTTATGTCCTTATGGTCCACAAGTGCTGGTCCAGCCTCACCAGAAGGAGCAGGCAGCCAGCTGGAGCATCACCTCCAGCCCTGGGGTGGAATTTGCCTTCCCCATGAGCCTGTTCCCTTCCCAGCTGAGCCCAGCTCTGGGCTGTCTGATGCTTAGTGCTTGTTCTCTCCATGCTGTTGGACAGAAGCCGGAGCTGTGCTCTGATGCCTGAATTCACAGTGAGCGAGTGAAGCAGATGGGTCATGGGAGACATCAGTAAGACTTGCAAGTCTGTCCCAGAAAGTGTCTTTTGACCACTTATAGCTACTTGGTCATCAACTGAGAGCCCTCTGTTGCCCTCTTCAGAGAGATGGTTGCAAGTGTCAAGTATAGTGATAAGAGAAGATGATGCATGGTGGTCAATTTGGGAATAACTTCAATGGGTTCCTCCTGTGCCCATAGCCACACGCTGTTATGCTTTAGGGAGGCCTTTGAGGTGTTCAGCAGTCACCATGAGGGCAGCTGTCTCTGTGGCAAGACCATAGGCCAGCCCTGCTGATGTCTCAGAGATGCCATCTTTGCCAGGATCTCTGGTTCATGCTGGGGATGTCCATACCTGCTGCCCAGGTGTGGGCAGGGTTTCCTGGAGCCAGGGCTCACTGTGCTGGCCTCTCCCTCCTCTCCCTGCAGGCTGGGGAACTGTGACCTGACAGCAGGCTGCTGTGCCACCCTCGCCACTGTCATGGCCACCAAGCAGTGCCTCACTGAGCTGGACCTGAGCTACAACCCTCTGGAAGACGAAGGCATCAGGAAGATCTGTGAAGCCTTGAAGAAGCCCGGCTGCAACGTGCAGCAGTTAATGTGAGCGATGGTGGTAGCCCTGGCAGGGGTGGGAGGCTGCTGCTGGTCAGGGACTAAGGGGGTCCTGGGCTGTAAAGCCAATTTCTCGCTGCTCTTAGAGCTAGATGGGGCCCTTCCTGGCATATGACCTTCCCATACTGGCCAGTTGGCATATGACTCTTCCCTTAACAGGAGGATGCTCACTAAATCTCGCTTCCCTTTTTGTTTTGGTGTAGTTTGTATGACATTTTGTGGAGTTCTGAAGTGGATGATGAACTGAGAGCCTTGGAAGAGTCCAAGCCTGAAGTGAAGATCATTTCATGAGTGGTGACTGCCTGCAGAACAACGTCAAAGCAATGTCCTCTTCTTAATCTGAACTTTCCATACGTAAAACTAATTAACTTAATAGGGAATTTTCTTGTACCAAAACCATTTGTGGATTCCCCGAGTGGGTGTCTGGGGAGTTGATTGGCCTTCTCTGCATCTCTGGATGTACTAACTCTGAGACTCATGAAAGCTGCAGCATCACTATCCTTGAAATAAACAATTACTGTCTTGGAGAAGTGGGTCTCTAGCCCTTAGGAGCTCTTTAATCCTGTAATCCCTTCTAACGAATTAGCTGGGCTTTAAAGAGAGCTCCTTCCCAAGGCAAGAGAACTACCCACTGGATTGTTACTGGGTGGTGCTTTTGATAGGTCTCTGGGGAAGGCTTTCAAAAAAACCTAAATGTTTTTAATCTAAAATTGAGCTCTCCCCTGTCTTTCCCTAAAAGAGTTCTTGGAAAAGCAGTGGTGGCCAAGGCACAAGAGAAAAAAAGAAATGAGCAGCTGTTCAGCTGTGCAATATCAAAATTCATGTCCTTTGAAAGGTGATTTTCCTACAAACAAAAGATGCTGTGTGCATTTCTGCTAGTATGGGAAATGATTAAATGATTGATATGTTTGATCTGGCAAAGAGTAGTTCTACAGGAACTTTATACTTAATTTTTCTACTTATAAAAATAAATATATCTGTATATTTCTCCTTTAAGACCAATGTTGTTATTTGTGAACTGCAACACTACCAACACCTTGGTTTACTTGTTTGTTTTTGGTAAGTCCCTAGCTGAAACATGCCAGGAGAAGATCTTAGTCAAGGCTTTAGGTAAAGAACAAGCCTAGAAGACATTTCAGTTTTCAGGGGACACTGGGGTTTCATGCCCAGAGTTGTAACAAACCCTTGTTCCAACAGAAAATGCAACTGCTGCACACCTAAACCACAAAAGAATGAATATGGATTTAAAAATATAGAAGGCAAGCCTGGCATTGTCCTTGGCTGGCCTTGCAGAATGAATGGCAAAAAATTCCCCAATGTGTCTTCCTGGAGTGGTCACTTGGTGTTTCCTTCACTGGCAAATTCTGTGTGGCACCTAAGGGGTAAAGGTGTTCTCTAGGCTTTGCTTTTTGCTGCTCACATTCATCCTGTAGAGGCCACAGCTGGCTTTTCTTTGTCCTAGAATATTTGACCTAAGCAGTTTCTACAGTAGCCTTCAAAAACCTAAAATGGTGCATGAGGAATAGTTTACTTGTGTCTTCAGGCAAGTGTGAAGGATAGGATTTGGTTTTTTCCTAAAGGCATGTCTCTCATAACTGCCCAAAATGCTAAAAACCCTCTCCTTTTGGCTTTGGTCTTCTCCATGAACAAAAACTAACCCATTCTAAGGGCTCCAGAGGGTAAAAAGATGTGTAGGGAGAGCCAGAAAAATCAGGCATCTGGGAGAGTGTAAAAACAGCCCTCTAAAAAGACGGCAAACAGAAGTGGATTTTCCCTATCCCGGCTACCCGAAGCAGGGCACTCAGCTCTTGCACTGCAGCTGCAATGCCTGGAAATGCCTCCCGTTCCTCCCCTCAGCAGATGAGCATTGGGAAGGGTCTGCTGCCACCATGGCTGCACTGGGGGTGTTCAGCCTGGCACAGCCTGCTCCCACCAGGGGTGAAGTCCATGCCTGCCTTTGATCCCAGAGTGGCTTTGCATTTCCTCCAAGAATGCAGACAGAACTTGGAAAAGTCTCTGCAGCAAATGCCACAATGCACAAATGGCAGTCTCTCCAGCTGCCAGCCACAGCAAGGAAAACCACAAGAGCCATATTTGCTTCCTCATGAGCTCAGGGCATCTCAGGCCAGGCCAGCCTAGTAGAGCTCTTCAGTTCCCCCAGGATGGGGATAAATCTGTGCACTCAACCTCTGCTGTGCTTTAAGACAACATCAGGTCCTGTGCTTGCTCTAAAATGCAGGTAGAAATCCCAGGAACCAGGAGCAAGCCAGTTTAGCAAGAGACACTTGTGCTCATGAACAAGACTCAAGCAAGGATTTTTATTCCTAAAAACTCATTTGTTTTTGTTCATCTATTTGTTGGCCTAGCTCACTTCCCTAACAAACCTTGTCACAACTGTGAACTTGGGAGAGCTGAAAGACACAAGAATTTGCTTCTGCAGTTTAGATGTGTGAGTAGTCAGCATTTTAAACTAAAGTAGTCAGGAACTGAGTCACAAACCTTTCATGTGGAGTAGGTAGTAGGCTGGCAGGCAAAGCCTTACTCATACCAAGATCATAGCTGGAGAACTCAGCAGTTCCTGGGACATGGCAGTCACATCCTGGTTCTCAGGGCAAATACTTGGATCCCCCAGTTCAGTGGTTTGCAAGTACTGACTTTCTACCAGTAGGGGCTGTTTCCCCTCATATAGTGAAGATTTAGGACAAAATTATGCAGCCAAAATAGAAGATTAAGAAATACAAGTATGACTTTCACTTTAAGCAAATACTAGAACTTGAAAAGACATGTCCCAGAGGTCTTCAATTCAGAGAAAACAGGTCTGTATTTTGGACTTCAGTAACAGCAATAGTGTATTTATTTAGGGTATAGTAAAACTTCTGGTTTCTGCTAGTAGTTTCAGATTCTACAATAAATATAACTTTTTATTCATCAGAGCACATGATCTCGAGCTGGGAAGTCACAGCGTTCAAGTTAACATTGCCAGAAGCAGTTAAACAAATATTATTGTCCTCACAGTTTATACCCCAACCAAACCTCCCACTTGCTTTGGAATATCAAGTCATGGCTGCCCTGATGTCCCTCCTGTTCTCTTGGTAGCTGAGCTTTTTAGAAAGGAGTTCCAGCACAACAAGGCCCCAGGTACCAGCTTCAAACAACAGTGATGCTACCAGCAATTACAGAGCTCCACTTGAGTCTGAAAGGGGAAGTCAAGCCCATGGTGTTTGAAGAGCTAACCACACACAGCTCCCTGCTTTGAAAACAGTGCTTGCCATCTGAGTCACTCCCAAACCTCTGCTAAATTAATCTAAAAGGGACTTACTTGTTGCCTGAATTCCTCTTTTGCACACATCATTGTGACTTTCAGCTATCATTTACAATATATTTTCTCCTTTCTGTGTGCTGATTTCATCAGTCATTGCTTCCTCCACTACACCTCAATTTCATCTTTTACTAAAGGGGAAAAAACATGGGAAAAACCCCAAGCATACCACTAGGCAGGAAAATCCCTCTCCCCATAAGGTGAGAAGAATTTGGATCTACTTTACCCATTCCCCTCCTCACAGCTGCAAATGAACCATGGACATTTCTCCTCTTGGGGCACAACATCACAGCCCCCCTCCTGACTGAGTGATGCCCACTCCTCCGGCACTCACACCATAAACACCAGCCAGGCCAGTGCACTCCCAGCTTGGCAAGGACTTGCAAACTGGCAGGTTTGATGAATATGTGAAGTTAGCCTTGCCTCTCTCAGCTAAAGCCAGCTGCATCCACTATGAGAGGAAACACAGCCCCCAGCCAGAGGAAGAAACTGTGCTGGGTCAGATGACTGCACAGATGATGATAAGCCTTCCCAAGCTAGAGGGCAAATCGGTGGCATGTGGGATGCAGGGGGGGATGGAAACTTTAATTGGCCAATATTGTGTCAGAGCCTATCTGGTTTGCAATTAGAGGCAGGTATGCAGTGAGAGAGGTGAATTGCTGGCACCTCCTCAAGCCCTTGAAGATGTTCCAGAGCAAACACTCAGGAAAAGTCTTAAGCCAGGCTGTGCTGCCCTCAGGCTGGTGCACAGCAGCCCACTATATCCACAGCGGGAAATAAAGTAGCAGCACAGCTGTCACTTGCACAGGCACCCTACATGCAGCTCAGGCAAATCCTTCTCTGCTACTCCATTTCCTACTTCACTGGTGATTATCACATGCCAGGAACAGCCCGGTGCCATCGGGACAGCGCACAGACCTAGCACTGCCCACCCCAACTTCTTTACATCCCCTCTGTGTTGCTTCTGCCTTGTCTTTGTTCAGAGCCCAATTATGCTTGGCAGATGATTAAAGTACCTCTTTGCTCCTGGGTACAGAAGTGCTCTGCAGGTCACATTGGGATTGTCTGGGAAGTGCTGCCTGCCTCCATCACTTCTGGGTGCAGCTCAGCTGAACCAGCTCCTCCTAGTCAGGTTAGAGGTGTCAGCTCACCTCTCATGTGCCACAACTGCAAACCAAGGCACAAGGCTGCACTCAGAGATAATCAGAATATAAAGCACCAAAGAGTTTGCTCCATGGCACTTCCCACAAAGAGGGAAAAGAAAACTGTTTTGTTCACCCCTGACTCCAATGGGGACTTGTTGCTTTCTACACATCAGGCTCCCAGGAGATCCATTCCCTGCTCAGTGCCACAGGATGCAAAGCAAATCTAAATTAGACACACTACACGGCATGCAGCCCTGCCTCCTAACTACAGCAGGATCAAAGATAGCTGTAATTCCACTGACATGGGTTAGAATCACCTAATGAATGCTCTGGGGAGGAAATCTGGCTGGCTTTGGATCACTTGAGAGAAAGCAAGCAAGCTTCCAAGGCTGGAGAGAGAAAATGGGACAGATCCAAGACTTCTCAGGAAAGTTCATCAAAGCCCAGGTGGGATAAGGAGCAAAAACCAGATGAGGGAGGAAGGAAAGCACTGGAGGATAGTGTTCTCCATCCTTCCTCACCTCCCTCCAGTGTTCTTGGCCCTGTAATCTCCATGCAATTTAACATTATCTTCTGAAAGAGAAAACCACTCTTGCTATTCAGATGGCTCGTTGCTGCTAAGTGTTTCAAGCCTTTCTAGGTTCCTGGATTTTAGGCCTGGCAGAACTGAAAAGGTATGGGATGGCTTTGGTGCTTCTGAGACTATGGGTCCAGCTCCAGAAGTGTGTGTGCAAAGATTAAAGAGTATTCATTGCTGGCATCAAGCTGCTACAGGAGATGATTATCCAAAAAAAAACCCCAAAAAAACAAACAAACCCTACTGCTTTGGATAGAGAAAGCAGATTTAAAACAACTGCAAAGCAAAAGCAGGTGGAAAGCACATACTCTTGGGCTATTCATTTTTGCTGTGCCCATGAAGGGCTTGCAGTGCTGGAAGGACTTCACAAGTCAACATGGATTGGTGTCACCAAGTCCAGCAAGGGGTTGGAATTACTCTCCTGCAAGCCCCTCAAGAGCTCAGCCTTTTCCTTCATGTCCTGCCTGGTGCTTGCTGGGCCTCTCCCAGGACCTGCAAGGCAGCAGGTATGGAGCAGCTCTCATTGTGACTCTGATAGCTGGATTTTCCCAGCAGGCACCCAAAACTCCAGTCCTCCAGAGTTATGCTGGAGTTAATGAAGCAGCAGCCTCTCCACCTTGTTCCTTCCCCATGTTTGCCCTGTTCTGACCTGGCTTCACCAACATTGGCTCCCATCTTGCTGAGTGATTTCTCTCTGGTCAATGACAGTGAGTTAATGAGTTTGTTTGGAATAAGAGTATCTGCTGCAGAGATGGAAACATGCAAAATACACCCTACACTGCAGCCAGGGAGCAGGGGCTTACCTGGGGCCTCTGGCAAAGGACCTCAGGAGAAACCCAAAGTCAACCATTAGTTTTGGAGCTGGAGTTATCGAGGACCAGAAGCCCACTATACTCCCACCAAAAAAGAGAAATCAGCAGCCTATGAGGGAGTTCAAGCCACCTCAGGAGTTGCT